GGCTGCCTCTTTCGCAGCACGGGAGGCCTCCCCCGGCTGGCCAGCTGTTCTCCTTCTTCTCTGCCTACGCTCAGCACTGCCGCGGCTCTTCCTTTTTGCCTTTCCCTTCCCGAGGCGACGTGGGACTGGGGCCACACCGGCGGCAGCAACTCCCGACAGCCCCAGCCGGACACCTGAGCGGAGCCCGGGCGGAACTGCCTGTTGCCGCCGTGAGCGCCGTTGCGGGCGCCTGGCTGCCCAAGTAAAGAACAGGGCCGCGCCGGACCATCGGAGAAGCGGAGCAAAGCCGGACACCAGCAGCCGCCACCCTCGGCGCAGAAAGCCTCCCCCAACCAGCCGGCCGGTCTCCTCCTCCTCGGTCACACAGAACAAACAGGCAGAGAAGGAGGAGAGCAGCTGGCCAGCCGGGGGAGGCCTCCCGTGCTGCGAAAGAGGCAGCCAACGATCTCCGGCGCCGTCCTGCTCCACGCGCTGGCTGCTCGGACTTGCCAGGCCCGGCACATAGAACAGGGCGGTGCTGGATGTTGGAGAAGCCGAGCGGAGCCGAAGCCACCTCAGCTCGCATTGTTTTCTGAGCCCGCAAGCCTAGAGCCAGGGCGCTTTCATTGCACGGTGGAGCTTCTTGTCTCGGGAAAAACCGGGCGTCGTTGCTGCCCCCTGAGGGGAGGGCGATTCTGGGCTGCGCGATTGGGGGACTTCATGGCTTTGGGTGGGTGGGTGGGTGGGAGTGAGGACGGACGGAGTCTGTGAAGCGGGGCTTGCCTGCCCTTGCTGGCTGCCTCTGCTTCCTTAGGGGCGGGGAAGGGGGCTCATCTGGACCAAGGGTGAGTCTCCCCCTCAGTTTCCCCTGAAGGATCTTCCGTCGCTTTTGCCTTCTCCCTACATCTTCCCTCTGTTAAAATTCCCCCCCCCCCACACACACACACTTATTTTCGGGCGGATAGATTTCGTGTCTGAGCATTCTCACATGACGGTGAGTCTTCCCCCCCCTAAAAACAGTTAAAAAAAGAAAAAACATATCCTCATGCAAGAACTTTTCTGCTTCCGATTACCCCCATGCTTAAAAGTTGCAAAGGAAACACGGAAGCAGGGAAGCGCCTGCCCAGCTCCGGATCTCCACACCATTTTTTTTTCAGAGGGGAATCTGACTCGAGTATAAGCCGAGGGGGGTTTTTTCAGCACAAAAAATGGGCTGAAAAACTAGGCTTATACTCGAGTATATACAGTAACTTAATTTTTATTCTTTCTGTCATATCCCCTGCCAAATTTTATCTTTCGGGCCCACTTCTATATACAAATTATGCTCCAGATAAGAATGTATCTTTGAGACTTCCGGTGACGAGATATGGGCGAACGGAGGTGCTGAAGCTCGCTCTGGGTTTCATGCTACCTCCTCTTGCTGTTGGAGTGACCCTTAGGGGTGCACGCATCTTGCAGAGAAGTGTGCCAGTGTGGGGAGACTCAAGTCGTGGTGTGGAAAAGGCGTTTCTCATTGCAACGTAGAGAAACCCTGTGGAGACCGACAACAAGAGACTGTCAGCAGTGGCAGTCCTAAAGCCTTGATCGTTGCATACAAGAGGAAGCGAGTGAGTGACAGACTGTGGTGAACGAAGAGTGCGAGTGAAAGAATTTGCGATCCTATTCACGTTGAATATTGGAGTATCTTAGTCGGAGCGAAGCCCAAAAACAGCGGCCAAAGCAGATACGAGTGGCGGCGAAAGCGAAAGGGCTTGTGAGACGGAAGAGGGTAATGACTTCCGTTACTAATACAACGATTAAAACTGGAAAGAAGACTTCTTCAATACAAACAACTTCAATGCCATCAACCTCAGTGATGGCACAAAAGACAATTGAAGAAACTTTATCTGGAGAAAAAAAACCTACCATCATGAATGCCAATATTCAATCGACCCTTCTTACTTTACAAGAGTCCATGCTGAAGCTTCAGGAAATAGTGGTAAAAAAAATCATATCGAATCAAGAGCTGACACAAATGAACTAAAAGAAGAGATGGGAAACTTAAAGGCAGAAATGAAACGAGACATTCTAAAGCTGTATCAAAAAATTGAAACAATACAGCAAGCACTAGAAAGGAATGAATCAACAATAAAGAAGGTTGAGAAAAGAACGGAAAAAAACAGAAAAGAAGCTGGAAATGGTTGGTCAGCAATTAAGAAATGTGAGCAAAGAAATGGGCGACTCCTTGGTATATTTGGAAATGGATAAGGCCGCAGCATATCTAAGATTCCAAAATATAATGGAATCTAAAGAAGAGGATTTAGAACAAGTGATGGCAGGAATATTAGCAGACCTATTGGAAAAAGATAAGGATGATATTCTGAAAGAGTTAGACGAAATATACAGAGTGAGCACAAATTATGCAAGACGACATAAACATCCAAAAGAGGTCCATGTGAGATTTGCCAGAAGGAAAGTTCGAGATATTATATATAAAATTTCTAGAGAAGAAACAATTACATACAAATGGAAAGAAATCTTGGTGCTTAAACAAATCCCAAGAAGAGTGAGAGAGCAGAGGCGAGATTATAAATTCTTGGCGAACCAATTAAACCAAAAAGGTATCATATTTAAATGGCTAATCCCAGAGGGAATGTTAATCACTTGGGAAGAAAGAAAAATTAAAGTAGACTCAGTGGAAAAAGCCCAAGATTTCTACGAACGATTGATAGGCCATGAAGAATCGAGTAGTAGAGACGAGTTAGAAATGAATTCGCAAGACGACCAAGACTACCAAAAAATAGAGATGGGAATTGTAGAAATTCAAAAAATAAACAACATCAAGAGAGAGAAGAACCGAAGACACACAATCAGCCACAAAGAGAGACAGGAGTAACTACAAGACAAAGAGCAAGAGTCAATTAGGTGATGGATGAAGAAAAAAAAATACTATCAATTAACATAAATGGCCTAAACTCTAGGATAAAAAGGAAAAGAATATTAACCAAATTAATTAAACAAAATGCAGATATAATATGTTTACAGGAAACACATATAAGGAAGGAAGAAGAAAAATATTTAGAATGCCCCAAGCTAGGGAATTTGTATACGTCGCCAGCAGATTTTAGGAAAAAGAAAGGGATAGCAGTATATGTGAAAGACGATATGAAAGCAGAGCCAATTTGGATGGACCCCAATGGAAGAATTCTGATGTTACAAATTTGGATTAAATCAATTCTAATTCTACTAGTGGTAATCTATGCCCCTAACGATAACCAAAAGGAATTTTTTAAACAATTACATGAGAAATTAGTGGAATTAGATAAAAGGAATATTTGTATCTTGGGAGATTTCAATGCTATTGTGGACCACCAGAAAGATCATAGTAGTGGGGGGGGGGGGGGGGGGAAAAAAAAAGA